TCCCCGGCCCCACTGAGTCCCGCCACTGAATCTTTCCATGTTGCTTTTTAAAACATGAATAGATTTAAGTTTTTATTTATTTGCAAGGCAGAGAGAGGAGAGAGAGAGAGAGAGAGAGAGAGAGAAGGTAGTTTCCACCTGTTGGTGTACTCCCCCAAATACCCACAACAGCTGGAGCTTGGCCAAGCTGAAACCAGGAGCTGGGAACTCCATCCAGGTCTCCCAAGTGGCCAGCAGGGACCCAGGTACGTGAGCCGTCACCTGCCGCCTCCCAGTGTGTGCATCGCAGGAAGCTGGAATCAGGAACTGATCTGGGCTCGAACCCAGGCGCTCTGATGTGGGGTGTGAGTGTCCCCAGTGGCATCTAACTGCTGCACCCAGCACCTGCCCCTGTGGCCCAGGTTTCTGGTCCCTGGGAGGCAAGGTGGTGGGGTGGGGGAGGGCATGGCGGTACAGGGCATCCCAAGCTGGAGGGTGCCCAGGAAGCATGTGACGCTTAGCCTGCAGCTTCCTGGGACCGGTGCTGTGGCACACAGGTGAAGCCGCTGCCTGTGACGGCGGCCTCCCACATGAGTGCCAGTTGGAGTCCTGGCTGCTCTGCTTACCATCCAGCTTTCTGCTAAGGCAGTTGGCAAGGCAGCAGAGGATGGCCCAAGTGCTTGTGCCAGACACCCACGCGGGAGACCCGGATGGAGCCCAGATTCCTGTTTTTTGGCCTGGTCCAGCCCTGACCACTATGGCCATTTGGGGGAGTGAACTAATGGATGGAATATCTGTGTGTGTGTGTGTGTGTGTGTGTGTGTCTCTCTGTAACTCTACCTTTCAAATAAATAAGTAAATCATTAAAAGCAAATAAAAATGCAGCTTCCTGGCTTGAGCAGGCCGGGGCTGAGGGCCCGTGTTTCCAGGCTCCAGGTGGTACCACTTCCGCTGGTTCATAAACCTCCCTTGTCTAGGAGTGACTCGGGCAGGCCCTTCCGCCTCTGTGCCCTGAGACCATGCTGCCTTGGGCACCATCCCTCGCGCCTCGGCTCTGACTCACTGGCTTCTTGCTCGTTGGATGGAGACCTGCTGCAGGGTCTCTCATTTGCACAGCTGCCTGGAAAGCACTGAGGCCTTTGCCAGTCACTGGGGCAGCGACTGGAGAGGCCGCACTGAGCTGCCCACTCACCCGGCGTGGTGCTGGAGTCATCCAAAGATGCTGTCACCGCAATCCTTGGCCACTAGAGGGTGCGGTGATCTGTGCCCGGATAGCGGTCCCACCTGCTCCGTCCTCTCCTCCCTTCCCTAAGGAAGAGTGGTCCCTTCCTACTCCACGGTGGCCCTGGGGAAACAGGTGGAGGCTTTTTGTGTGGTGTCAATGTTCATTGACAGGCAGAACAAATGGCTCTTCACTGAGAGCTGTTTCGGTGACCTTAGAGCCCACCTTCCACCTGCAAAGTTCACTCCCTCTGCTTTTTTCTTGAATGCCAAGACATTGACCTTGACACCATTGGCTTCTGAGTTGACATCAGATGGGCTCTGGGAGGCAGGCCATTCACTGGCCAGCTCAGCCTTCCCAGCGCCACGTCCTCTGCCCTCCAGTGGCCTTTTGCCTCCAGCCGCAGGGGAGAGGTGCTGAGCTTCACGAAGGGCAGGGGGAGGGTCAGAAACAGTGCTGGGTGTGGGCGCCCTGGCTGGGCGGCACTTGGCCCGGCCTGCCTTGGCCCCCTTGGCTGGGCACCTGCTGGAGGCCCCTGCCTCCCTTCCTCACCTGGCGCAGTCTTGCCCACCCCGCGGGACCTGCTTGGGTACCCCATCTTGTGTGGGAGCCTTGCCCACAGAGGTCCTGTGTGGGTGCCTCCCCATCTCTGGCTCCCACCCAGGACTAGGCCCAGCAGAGGGGCTCAGTATGTGCTTTTTGGATGGCTGGGTGGGTCTTTGGTTGGACAGATGCCTTCTCTGTGCCCGGCCTGTGCCCTGGACTGAAATAAATGACCCTCTTACTGCACGTCCCAGTCCCTACCCGCTCCACCCCTAACTCCCAGTGCCGGGAGGCCTCCTGGAGGCCCCTCGGCCTGGCCTGTGGACACCTGCTGGCGCCCAGAGCCGACTTCCACAAAGGCGGTTAAACCCTGAGCCCTTTGCCAGGCTGTGTTTGGGGGTCCAGACTGAGACGTGGGGATGGGAGTCCGAGTCCCAGAAGCTCACTAAGCCTTGGTTTCCTCACCTGAGAAGTGAGTGTGGCCCCTCCCCTGCCTTCCTTGAGCCGTGCAGATCAGTGGCGCGTGGGAGGGTGCTTTGCCAGGTCCCTAGGTGGCGGGGCCGGGGGTGGGCAGGAGCGGGTACCCTGGTCTTACCCAGTGTGTCAGCTGGGCGCCTCCCACTGGCCCCAGGTCACGGATGCGAACCTTCTGGCAGCTGCAGATGAGCCAGCAGCGTCTGTCTTTCCCTCCTTTTCGCAGAGCCTCCAAGGCCCCTGGCCCACCTCTGCCGGCTGCGGGTCCGCAAGGCCATCGGGAAATACCGCATCAAGCTCCTGGACACACTGCCGCTCCCGGGCAGGCTGATCAGATACCTGAAGTACGAGAACACCCAGTGACCGGGCCTGGGCAGCCGGGCGCCCCTCAGACTGTTCCTACGACATCTCGGCGCGGCTGCGGCCCCAGACCCGAGGGGCCTGGCCAGTGACAGGAGGCTGCAGGTTGCGTCCTTCTCAGCTGGGGTGGCCACCGTGGTCTCGCAGGGGCTCTGGGCCAGAGCGGAGAATACAAAGTGTCCAGTAGAAGAACCAGGTGCTTTCCAGCTGCCGAGTCCTCCCCGGGGCTCCCCGGGGGGCAGCACTAGAGGTGGTCCCGACTGGAGAAGGCGGGCCAGCAGGGATCCCCCAGCCTCTGACCTGGGATGCGGAAGGACTTTGAGAGGCCGAAGGACCTCCCTGCCCTGGGCAACGCTCCACTTGACTTCGAGTTTCTCTCTGAAGATGTGGCCCAGGGCTGGGCTAAGGAGACCCCTGGGTCTGGGTTGGCGGGGGAGGGGGGGGCTTTGTTGAGTACAATAAACGTCACACACACATCCTCCTGCCCGGCAAACCTGACACATCCTCCTGCCCGGCAAACCCGCTCGCCGGTCTCCCCCAGGCCTCAGGTCCTCAGCCTGCCCCTGGCAGCCATGGGGTTGGGCACATGGCCCCCAATCACGGCAGCTTTGGGCTTCCCGAGGGCTTCACCCACCGGGACAGACCCCAGGGCCCAGCTGTCTACCCTGCTTCAGTCGCCATGGAAACAGGAGCTTCATCACAGGCAAGGCGACAGTGCCCCCCAGTCTGCCAACACCTGGGGCTGTCTTGCCCGTGCCTCTCCTGGAGTGCTCTTTTCGCATCCTGCTCACCTGCCACAGAAGTTGAGACGCTGGGGAGGGAGTTGGGGGTGGGGCAGGGCATGGGCCAGTGTGTGGGGGGCATCTAAATACTGGCTGCTATGAGCAGCAGTGCTGGAGAGATGGCCCTGGTCAGCCCTGCAGAGGCACTGGACTTGGCCGTGCCCCAAGCCCTGGCCACTGTCGACCCCCGGGTCCTCACGTGAGGCGAGTGGGCAGCAGTGGTGAGCGTGCTCAGGTTCTCTGGGCCTGCCACTGAAGTCACTGGGGTGCAGGCCGTCTGCAGCCACAGCCCGGGGGCCGCCTGGCCGAGAGACTGCGGTAGAGTCTTAGGCAGGTAGTTTCTGGCCTTCAGGGGGTCAAGCGAGGGGTGGGTGGCACTGCTGTTGGCTTGCTCCCCTCATCTGTACAGGGTGGCCCTGTTGGCTCTGACACACTGGTCTCCATGGAATTAGCACGTGCTGGTGTCCATATGGGGAGGAGTAGCCTTCCCAGCCGTCACAGGCCAAACGGGGCTGAGATGGAAACAGCCCCCCAAGGGGAAGGGACGTGCACACACAGGTCCCTGGGATTCCAGTTCCCAGTGGTTGGCCCCAGCCCTGGGCTGCCTTCCCATTCACCAGGTAGAGCTGCAGGGGTCCTGAAGAAATCCCCCCAAAACTGCACCCGCCACGTCCCGCCACACACACACCGGAACTGCCCAACCCAGAGGGCCTGGGGGACAGCTGCCAAGTTCCAGAAGTTCAAGTTCAGCCATCAAGGGAGACTCAGCCGAGGGAGGGCCTTTCCCTCTAGGGCAGCAGCGGATCAGAAGGGACTGCAAGGTGGCAGATGAGGGTGGGCTAATGCAGACGGGGCTGGCCCATGAGTTATCAGGTGCCCATGGGCTGGGGGCAGGCATCAGGCCAACTCACGCCATTTCTCAGGCCATGTTACAGCCTACAGTGTCCTCACAGGCACAGATCTCTTCCACCCAGGAGATCCAGGCGCTGGGCAGGGCGGGGCTGTCACTGTGGGCCCCGGCACAGACCAGGCACCCGTCTCTGGAATGCTGAGGGCATGATGGCTGAGCGTGGCCCTGTGCGCCATCCCAGCCAAGCTCAACACTCCGGGGAGGAGCCTGGGCAGCCGGGAGCACAGGAGTCTGGGTGAGCCTGGGGCTGTGGCTTCGGTTCTGTTGTTTTAATTTTCTTACCCAAGGACACTGAACCAATGAGCGTGTTTTAAAGAGGAACAATCTGAGGGGGCCACCTGCTTTGTCCTCAAAATGCCCAACTCCTGCGGGGCCTGAGCTCACCGGCCGGCCCCTCCCCTGCTCTGACACTGCCTTAGCCACAGCAGGAGTCACAGCAGAGGGGCCCGGCAGCATCCTGCAGCTGGGGAAGAGGGTTCGGCCAAGAAGTGTTCAGCCCCGCCCCTGCCTCCCCTGGTGCCAGAGCTGTTTGGACCCTCAGGGACCCTATGGACAGTTCCTCCCAGCTCTGCTCCTACCTCCTTCCTGGCCCCCAGACACCTCTGAGGCTCCGGGCCACCCCCAGCCTCCCCTGCCAGTCTCAGCCACAAGCAGCCCTGGGCCCTCGGCCTGGGTGCAGCCTGTGCCCCCTTAGGCCTAGGGACCGTTCAACCTCACGACACCCAAGATGTGGAAACTGCAGAAGTGTCTTTATTCTTTTAACTGTCTTAATATTTACAACGAACAAAAAGAACTGGCATTGGCTCACACAGTGGCTGACGGCTGAACAGATGCGGAACTGGCGTAAGGTTGGCCCGCGAGCAAAGATCGACCGAGTCCCGCTGCTTGCCATCTTGGTGGGGCAGGGGAGTGATCTCTTGGGCTCTGGCCCGGTTGGGGAGGGGCCAGCCGAGCCCAGCCCCACAGCTCCCAAGGTCTCGACAGCTGAGCCAGTGAGGAGCACCCCTCCAATCCTGCCCTCTGCCACCCGCCACAAAGGGAGGGGGCATTTGGAATGCCCAGGAGGCCCCCTAACACTGTCCAGCCCCCCTCGAGAACAGCCCTTGGGGCCCCCACACTCCTGCAGGTGGGAGGTGGGAGCCAAGGCCTTCCTGGCCAAGCTAGAGGTAGCCAAAGACATTGAAGATGGGTGGGGGCATGGCCGGCTTGGTGGGGATGGGCTTGAGAACCACGGGCCTGCACACTTTCTGCCCCAGGCCGTCCACGTCCTTGCAGAAGTGGCTCAGCTCCCCAGGGCGGCTGGGGCTCTTCTGCCACAGGCCCAGGCCGGGCACGGGGCTCGGGGGCAGGGCCCCCGGAGGGCCAGGGTAGATGGGCTGTCCATGGTACTGGAAGGGGCAGCAGCTCCAGGCATTGACCCGGCCCACCAGGGGGATCCCCGGCATCTTGAGCAACTCCTTGTCAGCCAGGGCCCTCGGGGACAGGGGCACCGAGGCCGTCTCGGGCCCCAAGGGCTCCAAGCCCTTGCAGTGTTTTTTACCCTCATAGGGAGCTCCCTCCCTGGGGCCCAGTCCCCCCTCCAGCCCCAGGGGGTAGCTGTGGGTGGGCCTCGGCTCTTCCCAGAAGGACGCAGGCAGCTGTCTTTTCCGCATGGGCACCTGGCCAGGCCTGGCAGCTTCTGGATCCTGCCCCTGCAGGGCCTGCTCGTGGGAGAGGCATTCCTCCGGGAGGGCGCTCCCCAGCGCCTTCTCCTTGCAGCTGGGGCTGGAATCGGGGCAGGAATCGAGGAGCAGCCTCCCCGGCCGGTCCTCGAGCCCCCTTTTCAGGTGGGGCTCAGCGGCTCGGCTGGGCAGGCCCCGCGGGAGCCGCGAATACTTCTGGGAGAAGCGTTTGAGCTGCTTCTGCAGGTACTTGCGGTGGTCCACGGAGCGGCGGCAGGGCGCGGACTTGTCCAGGGCGGCCTTGATGTCGCTGGATGCCAGGTTCACAAAGTTCAGCAGCATCTTCACTTCACTGTCGGATGCCATCACCAGGGGACCACTGCGCGGGGCTTTCCATGAAGGGGGGTGCTCTGTAGGGAGCTGACCTGGGGGACACGACAGGCCGTTGGGGGTCTCTCTGAGCAGCCACACCCCGCCCTGCCTGCCCATGGGCCACACCACCTGGCTACAGTGTCCCCGGAGCCCCCGTGGCCCCCGAGCAGAGCCCTGGGCAAGCGTAACACCTGCTCCTGTCGCCAGGCATTTCCTGAGCCACTGTGACGGGGACAGGTGCGAACAGCCTTGCGCAGCCTTTCTGAATTTGTTGCACATTTCTGGCAGCGGAGGCTCAGAGAGGTCAAGCCGCTGGCCCGAGGCGACCCAGCCATAGGTGGCCTTGCTGGGGCTGGAGCCCAGGTCTCGGCCCCGCCAGCCACACGCCGCGCTGCCAACGCGCACAACTTTGCCGCCGCCGCCGAGGTCTGCATGTCTCCAGCTGGGGCCAAGGCTGCACTTTAGAGAAAGCCAAGCCCCCTTTCTCCCTGGCGGTGGCCTCCTCCTCCCCCCCCACCCCGCCCCCAGCCCTGCCAGCATCAGCCCCCCTTCCCAGTCCCCACGCTCCACCCCCGACTCTCACGCAGGACCAGAGGCAGGACCCCTGTCTGCACTTCCTCCAGCCCTGCCTCGCAGGCTCCCCCGCCAAAGCATCTGCAGCAATTTCATGCTCCTAGGCCGGCCGCCGCCCGCAGCACCTCACCCCTCCCCCCGGCCCCAGCCTGCCCCACGCCCCCCCACCCAGCCGGGCCGGAGCCTGCGGGCCTCCACACTGACCGAAGGTGCGGGCCCCGGGCCCCGGCCAGCGTGGCCCGGCAGGTTCCCCGCCGCAGACCTGGGGCAGGCCCGGCGCGGCCGGCCGAGCTCCGTGGGGCTGCAGGCAGTTGTGTAGCCCTTGAGTGGGCTGAATGGAGGACGACTCCCCGGAGCTGGGGGGCCCTCAGGCCAATCAGGAGCGCCTCTCCAGACACAAAGCATCCCAATCAGGCGGCGGCGCCCCGTTCCCACATTCTTTGCCGGCACAAATTGTCACCATGGGGACCGTCACAAAAAAGACAGCTCCCCAATGCCATCATTCCCCGGTAAAGTTCTACCCTTCAGCCCCACTCTGCTCGGCCTCCACGCCCCTCCTCCCCTTGACCTCGGTTCCCTGGTTTCTCGAGGGGGCGGGGGAGTGTGTGAGGGTGTGTGTGTGTGTGTGTGCGTGCGCGCGCACGCAGGACTAATGTCCAGGAGCAAGGAGGGGCTGGGCCCTATGCAGAGCGGCGCGCAAGCCTCCCCTAAAAGACCCCAGGCCTGCAGCTGCCATGCTCCACTGCAGACAGACAATTGGACGGGGTAAGCTGGGGCGGGCTGCTCTCCCCGCTGTCCTTGAGTGCTGAGTGGTCCTCTCTGTCTCTGTCTCTGCCTCTCTGTCTCTCTCCAGCACCCTCGCCCCCGCCACCTGCTGGGATCCCCAAGCGCTGGGGTGCTGGAGCACCCGCCAAGCGGGGAGGTCCCTGGGTGTCGGGAAAGGTGGCCGGGGAAGGGCCTCTAACGAGGTGCCGGGATATCCATGGGAAGGGAGCCGGGGCTCTCAGGAATCTTGTCTTTATGTTTGCTCCCTCAATTGAGCTGCACAAAGCCTGAATTGCCCATTCAGCGCGGCTGGACAAAAGGGTGGCGTTGCACGGTCCCCTTGCATTTGTAGTCAAACAGTTAGGGACTTAAATCGAGTCGTCATGATGGAGAAAGAGGTGGACAAAGCCCATAGAATTGCCATCAGCAAACATTTTCCTGTGTCATATTAGCCAGTCTCCATGGCTCCCCCTGGCCTGGGGACAATGGCACAAGTTTGCACACTTGGCTACTGTCACCGTGCCAACGCCGGCAGGGCTGCAAGCAGGGCCGCTGTGAGTGAGCGAGCGAGGGAGCCCGGGGCCGGCACTGGCCCTGCCTCCCCTGGCCAGGAAGGTGAGGCCGACCGCAAGGGAGGCTGCCTGGGAAATGCTAATGGGTGAGGCCTCCGTGCCAGCCAGCTCCGTGGGCCCCTCTCACGCCTCCCAGCCTCTCCCAGCCCGCTCTGCCTTCTCTCCTCCCCTCCTCTTCTTCCTCCCCCTTCCTTTCCTTCCAGGTCCTGTCTGCCTGTCCGCCTGGCTGACAGTCTGCGCCCAGCGCACCTCTGTAGCACAGCCATTCATCTCCGGGCCTGGGCTGCAGGCACTGGCAGGCAGGGCAGGGGCTCCACCCAGAGTGATGGCCCCACCCCCTCCTCTGGCCAATAGACAGCTGCCGTGGGGACGAGACACCTGCCCACAGTGGCCTGACTCCAAGCCACCGCCCCCTCTGGCCTGAGGGTGAAGGGTCTGGAGGCCGCAGGGCACCGGGAAGCTGTAGCTCAACCTCAGCCCTGCAAAGCCAGTGCTGCTTTCCCGTGCCTCTTCCCCTGCTGTGGGGGTTGGGGAAGAGCTGATGAGACACGAGACGGCGGTGCTCATGGACTGGGGTGGCCTGGAACATTCCTGGCAGTGGCAGCCTCTGCACGGGCGAGATGTCGGGGGCCAAAGGTTTCTGCAGCTCATCCCAGCCCACCCTGTGGGTCTGGGCCAGAAGCATCCTTCCTGCTGCTGACCTCCTGGCACGCACGGCTGGAGAGACCCCCGATGCCTTGTGGTCACCAGGTTAGGCCCTTGCCCGGTGCCCCTCACTGTTCCCTGCTTGCCTTCTGCACAGAGGCTGAAGGGTATTCCAAGCCGATACCCACTTGCCAGCATCCACACAGTCGGCTGCCCAGAGAATGACTTCAAGCATCCCCGGTCCACTCCCGGGATGGCCTGTATCGGCGCCTGCGCCATGCGGGTCCCTGTCCCTGGAGCAGCCTCTCTCTCCTAAGAGCAGTGAGACATTTCTGAGCCGCCCTGCTGGCGTCTCAGCTTCATCCAAGGGCCCCCTGCACTTGCAGTCATGACAGCCCATTCTGGCAATGTCTCCCCATTTCTTAGCCCACAAGATATCTCCGCAACTGGCAGGCAAGCTCTGTGGGAGTCATGTCAGCCTCCGAAGCAGTCTCTCCACGGGGGTGAGAGCTTGGTGTAACAGAGCACCTGGCTCAAGTCCCGGCCGGCTCCATGTCAGGCCCAGCTTCCTGTTAACGCGCATCCTCGGGGTAGAAGGTGATGGTTCAAGTGCACGGCCCCTGCTATCCGTGCAGGAAACCTGGTTGGAGCTCCTGGTTCCTGGCTTTGGCCTGGCCCAGCCCTGGTTGTGGTGGGCCTTTGGGGAGTGAACTAGCCGATGGAAGATCTCTCTCTCTCTCTCTCTGTCTGCATTTCAAATGAAATGGAAATAAAACAGCTCTTCAAGTGGGCTGTTCTTCCACCAAGTCCTTTTAGAAGAGAGAGAGAAGGAAGGAAGAGACAGACAGGAGGAAGGAGGAGAGGCAGGAACATGGGCCGGAGACACCGCACGGCATGCCTGCTCAGAGCAGTGTTCCGTGGCCTCCCACGCGTGGTCTCTGAGAGCCTGGGGTCAGTGCGGCCACATACGAATCAGGAAATTCGGGTGAGTTACCTTCCCAAGGCCTCACAGCTAATCACTGGCCGCACTTGAACTTGAAGCCAGGCCTGCCCTTGAGCAAAGCCTGTGCTGGATCCACCGCCTCACTGCACCTCCTCCAGCTCCTCCAGAACCTGCCCCAGTGCCGTTGGCTTTGAGAGCCCTGGAGCACAGATTCTCTGCCAAGCCCTGTGTTCGGCTCTTCTCTCCCAGAGGAATATGGGAGCCACAGCTACCTGAGATCCGTAGAGGGGAGAGACAGTGGCCCTGCACTGACCGGGCCACACCCTGTGCCTCAGCCGGGGCTGCTGGAGGCTGCCCACCTCCTGCTGGGGAAGGCTCCCCTGTGTTTGTCTGAGAGGCCAGACCCAGCCACAGCCCCCTGCACTGTGGCTGTGTGTGAACCCGGAGGGCGCCCTCTGCCGTATCTCTAGTTGATGACACCCTGGAGAAGCCTCAGCCCTGGGACCTTCAGGTCCAGCTCAGCTGACCACGGCTCTCAGCATTCACAGCCCACTCCGGCAGGAAGCCGCAGCCGGGACAGCTCTCCTATCCTGTGTGCCCAGAGCCTGGTCTCCTTCACCAAGCAGACAAAGCTCTTGGGGCCTGGCCCTGGATACCCTGCCCACTCCATAGAAGAGCACTCCCCCTGTGCACTGCAGGCGGTGGCTTCCTGTCCGGCCCCACCCTGTGCTCCAATGACCTTGGCCCAGAGCTGGCCTCTGTGGAGCACACTTGTGGCTGCCTTGCTTCTGCTTCATGACGAACTGTGAAGCCTGGGGCCGTGGTGCAATGGAGCTGGACACAGCGCTTCACGGCCACGTCCCCTGCACCAGGCCAGGGCTTCCGTGGGCTCTGTTAAAGGCATGTGGGCCATGCCGCCTGCCACAGACCCCACTGCAGCGGGAGCCTCCAGCCTCGACTTCCCCGACCTGCTGTCACCGCACATTTCCGACGTTCCCCGTGTGCTAACCACGCCTCCAGTATACTCAGGGACTCCCAGCTTCACATTGCCTCCCTCAGACACCTGCTGTCGGCTGGGGGACAGAGGGATGGCCCCTGCTCTGACTCCGTGACTAAAGAGCCAGCTTCCACCCGCCCACTGGGGAAGCAGAATGGCCCCTCCCCGCTGCGGCTCAGCCCTCACCCCGCCACACGTGTGGACCGGACCTGCAGCAGAGAAGAGGCAGTGGCCTAGCAGGTGCAGGACGAGCCTGGGGCCAGAGGGGCCGCCTTGGCAGGAGGTTTCCACGTTGCTGCTAAGCAGAGAAACCCACTTAAAAATACCGGGGTGGGGGAGGGCGGCTTTTGGCTAAACAGTGTGGTTTGAGACTGCAGTTCGAGACACCTGCGTCCCACGCTGGAGAGCCTGGGTCCCAGTCTGACTTCTCCCGGGGTGCTTTCTTGGGGTGGGGTGGGGGACTTGGCACAGAGAATTAGCAGACAGGAAGGAGCTGTCCGCCGCCCACAGGACAAGGGTGTTGAGTGGCAGGGGCAAAGCGTGGAATCATCTTTCGGTGGAAAGCTGCGGTCTAGAGATGTCAGGTTGCAGATCCCAGATTCCAGGCTCTGCGCCAGCCTCCTGACCATGCAGACCCTGGCAGGCAGCGGTGGTGGCTCAAGTTGCCGGGGGGGGGGGGGTCCCTGCCACCCACATGGGAGATCTGCCTGGCCTGGCCCTGGCCTTGGCCCCGCCTGGTCATTCTGGGCATTTTAGAAGTGAAACAGTGGCCGGCACCACAACTCAATAGGCTAATTCTCCGCCTGTGGCGCCGGCACACCGGGTTCTAGTCCCAGTCGGGGCACCGGATTCTGTCCTGGTTGCCCCTCTTCCAGGCCAGCCCTCTGCTGTGGCCAGGGAGTGCAGTGGAGGATGGCCCAAGTGCTTGGGCCCTGCACCCCATGGGAGACCAGGATAAGTACCTGGCTCCTGCCATCGGATCAGCGCGGTGCGCCGGCCATAGTGTGCCGGCCACGGTGGCCATTGGAGGGTGAACCAATGGCAAAAGGAAGACCTTTCTCTCTCTCTCACTGTCCACTCTGCCCATCAAAAAAAAAAAAGAAGAAGAAGAAGAAGAAGAAGAAGAAGAAGAAGAAGAAGAAGTGAACCAGCAAATGGGAGCATCATCTGTCAGTCTGTCTCTCCCTCTGCCTCTCCAATAAAAAAAAAATACCCTACGAGGAGTTCCCACACGTGGAATCCCACACGTGATAGCAGTGTGCTATGAATACGTATTTGCACAACCACACACATCGCTTGTGCTTACTTTGCAAACAAGGCCGTAGAACATCTAGAAAAATCTAGATTTGCAGATACATGCCTAAAGTGGTCATTTTTTTTTTAAAAACGGTGACCTTGGCATTTTAGGACCCTCATCCTGTGCAAAGGAATTGCCCAGGAGGCTCTGACTGGGCCCCCAGAAGGGCTGACCGGCCCCTCGTGTGCAGGCGCCCGGAGGGGGGACTGCTTCTGTGTGTCTGCGTGTTTGTTGCTGCAGGTTCCAGGATGTCGGGTTTTAAAGAGCCAAAAACAAACGTAAAAGGAAACTTTGCATCCTCACCCTTGTACAGGAAGTTCAGTTCCTAAAGGAGCACCATCTTCTCACTGTTGGAAAAAGAGTGACCCAGAGAGGGGCAGTGATGGCCCAGCCACACCAGGCAGAAGCAGGCCCCCGGCGGAGCTGCCCCTGCCCCTGCCCTGACACCTGCCGGAGGCCGGAGCATGTGTGAGGTCACTTGCTCTTTCCGGGTGCCCTGATCCCTGTCTGGAACGGGGAAGGAAACTGAGGCGCAAACCGTGTCGGGGAATTGCTCCTGCTCTAAGCTGACAGCGGTGCCAGGGTGGTGAACGCACCCCAGGAAACCTGCCGAATCCATAGGCAGTGCAGCCAGAGACATCGCAGGCCGAGTTATGCAACCCTCTTACGAAACAGCCGGACTTCTCCCGAGGCCAGCCCGAGGCTCGCTGTCAGCGGCAATCACAGCAGGGCCAGCTTCTAGCTGCTTGATCTGACGGGAGGCGGCGTCCGAGGCAAATGCCATGGGCAGCCAAGCCGGGGGATTCCCGCCCTGGCTACCTCCCCTCCCTGCTGGAGCGGAGCGCCACCGGGGCCGTGCCCGGGCAGTCGCAGTGCTGGAGAGATGGTGTGGGCCATCAAGTCCACCTTGCCCACGTTGCTGTCACAGTGAAGGGTGACAGCAGCGTGGTCTCGGGCCTGTCACTTCCCCTCCCCATCCGCAGTTCATGGCCTCTGTGCGGCGCTCCGGTACGTACGTCTCGGTGCTGGTTACGAGAGTATCCTAACGTGCATGGGTTGCAGATTCAACATCGCAGAATCTGGAGACCCACCTGGCCTCCTGGGCTTCCTGGAAGGGGCCGGGACCCAGTGGGGTCAGCGCTGGTGGTCTGAGCTGCGTGGGCTCCTGGGTGTCCGCGGGGTGCAACTCGGAAACTCCACGTCACGTGGAGCGGGAGAGCGGCCTCCTGGCCTTGTCCTGCTCTGCGCCCAGTCTGTCCGCCAGCCCAGGGGTTTCTGTGGGGTCTCTTGATGAGTCACAGTCGATCTCTTCTGTCCCCACAGCTTGGGGGTGGGAGGGAAGGGCAGGTTTCGTCAGACGATTTGTCTGTGTCCGTTTCTAGCTCATGCGATGTTTCCCATGCACAACCCGTCTCCAACTCTTGCTGTGTCTGCCTTTCGTGCCTGGCTTACTCCACTCGGCACAGTGTCTTCCTGGCTCATGCGTGCTGTGGCCTGTGTCAGTGTCTTCCTGGCTCATGCGTGCTGCAGCCTGTGTCAGACAGTGTCTTCCTGGCTCATGCGTGCTGCGGCCTGTGTCAGACAGTGTCTTCCTGGCTCATGCGTGCTGCGGCCTGTGTCAGACAGTGTCTTCCTGGCTCATGCGTGCTGCGGCCTGTGTCAGACAGTGTCTTCCTGGCTCATGCGTGCTGCGGCCTGTGTCAGTTTCCTGCCTCTTCCAGGAGAACTGCTACTCCGCGTGTGCTCGAGACATGCTTGGTTTGCCCACTCACCGGAGAGTGGGTTGTGTAGCTTTGCTTAGCCTGGCAATGTGGTTCATCACATGGACTGGCTTTTACAAACTGAACTAGCTTTGCATTCCTGGAACAACGTCCACCTGCTGCGGTTGTGATGCTTTTATCTGCTGCTGAGCTCAGTTTGCTAAAACTTTGTTTAGAGATATTTGCTGTTTCCCCGTGTTCGTGAAGGATTAGCCTTTTCGATTCTTCTTGTCTATCCTCAGGGTGATGCTGGCTTCATAAATGCACTGGGAAGCCCTTCCTTCTCTTTTTTTTTTTTTTTTTTTCATGGAAGACTTTGGATGGAGTTGGTGTTGCTTTTTCTTGAAATGTTTAGTAGGCTCCTCCAACCAAACCATCTGGACTTGTAGATTTCTTTATCAGGAGGATTCATGCTACAGATTTAAATTAAAACAAATTAAGTTACAGCATCGTCACCACTCAGATCATCTGTGTTGTGGTGAACGGGTTTTGACGGTTGGTGGTCTTTAAGGAGTCCGTTGCTGCTACATTGCACACGGAGTTGTCCGTGGCATGCTGTGTGGCGCCCCTAATGTCACCCAGGTGTGCGGCGATGTCCGATTCGGGTCTCCTGAGAAATCTGTGACTTCTCCCTTTTCTGTCAGTCTTGCTGGAAGCTTAGTCATTTCTTTTTTTCTTTTATTATTTTTTTTTTTTTTGACAGATAGAGTTAGACAGTAAGAGAGAGAGAGAGAAAGGTCTTCCTTCCTCTGGTTCACCACCCCCCCAAATGGCTGCTACGGCCGGCGCTACACTGATCTGAAGCTAGGAGTCAGGTGCTTCCTCCTGGTCTCCCATGGGGTGCAGGGCCCAAGTACTTGGGCCATCCTCCACTGCCCTCCCGGGCTACAGCAAAGAGCTGGACTGGAAGAGGAGTAGCCGGAACTAGAACCCGGCGCCCATATGGGATGCCAGCACCGCAGGCAGAGGATTAACCAAGTGAGCCACAGTGCCGGCCCCAAGCTGCTCTTGGTCTTTAACGTGGGCATATTGGTGCTATGAAGTTTCCTTTCAGCACGGCTTTGGCTGCCTCTCATGAGTTTCAGTTTGTTGTACTGGTGTTTCCATTTGGCTTGGTATTGCGTTGTTATGTCCCTTGAGACAGTCCTTTTGACCCAGCCTGTTTAGAAGTGTGTTTTAATTTTGTAAAATGTTATTTGAAAGGCAGAGAGACAGAGATACACACAGACAAGATCTTCTAGCCAATGGTTCACTCCCCAAATGCCCACAACACCCAGGCCAGGGCCAGGCTGAGACCTGGGGCGGATCTCTCACGTGAGTGGCAGACGGCCAAGCACGTGGGCCATCGCCGCCCTCTGCCAGGTGCAGGTTAGCAGAGAGCTGGAACGGAGCAGGGCACGCTGATAAGGATGTAGGGGTCTCAGGCGAAGTCCTGACTCCTGGGCCACACGCCTGCCTCTGTGCTGTGTTCACTCCTACGTGTCTGGAAAACTTTGGGGCTCTCTTTCTGTTAGTGATTTCAACTTTTTTATCCCGGTCAATGTAAATTCGTTCACATGTGCTGAGGTTTGCTCTGTCACCCAAAGGACGCCCACTGTGGCCCAGGTTCCACGGGCCCCAGCATAGGCAGTGCCGGAGTGGCTTGCTAGCTCTGCACGTGGCCACGTGGGCTGGCGGCGGCGTCAGTCCGCCCGCCTCCTCCCTGAGTTTGTGTCTGGCAGCTGTGCTAGTCCTCAGCTCCCACTCTGGGTCTGTCTGTTTCTCCTTTCTGGTCTCCCATATTTTGTTTCCACTCCACACCCTCCACTCAGGGACGGAGCAGTGAGCCTGGGCACCGTAGGGTGAGTGTGGATCGTGGCGCCTCTCGGGGGGCGCAGGAGCCCCTGGGGTGGGGACGGCCGGTCCTCCCCGCTCTGCAACTTGGCCCGCGTCACTCAGCCTGCCTGAGCCTCCATTTCTGTCTCCAGAACGGTGACTGAGAGCAGATGAAGCGCAAGGGTTTGGTTCCAAAGCTGTTACGAGCACCGCCTATGTGCAGGATGCTGAGGCACTGGGGTGTACCGATGCCGACAGCCTGGTGCGTGGAACCTCAGCCTCTTACTAAAGGCTGGCGAAGTGAACTCCACCACGAGACGGAAATCGCCCTTCTCCCTGCTCTGCGGACTGGAAGGTGACTCGCCCACCACACCACCGCCAGAGCCGGCAAAGCCGGAGGCCAGTCCAAGCTGGTGCTAATGCTCCCAGCCGGAGAACCCGGGCTCCTCTCGCTTATGGTTCTACGGCACGGTGGACGTGGGGTTCAGAGCCCCCCATGAGAAAGACACAGACACTCTGCCTGCGTCCCAGTCGGAGCCCTCCCCTCCCCTCCGTTCTCCACTGGGCTCCATGTCAGGCTGCCCAGGTGAGCTACCTGGGCGCGTCTCCCCGGAAAGAGGGGCCAGTGTGATGGACATGGCACGGCAGTCCCAAAGGGACAGCTCCCCCCGCCCCCGTCCCAGCCCTCCCCGGTCCCCGCGGTGTCACCTTCGCCGAGTCCTCCAGCGCCTTCCTGCTGCGTCTCTTCACCCCACCGAGGCTTCAGCCAAGAGTGAAAAGTCCGTTTAATCTCAACTGCCAACTCAGAGTTGATTGGTGAAGGCTGGCAGGTGCCCCCAGAAAGATTCCAAGGCTCTCGGCAGTTAGAATGCGGTGCTCGGCTAGTGCTGCCTGCCCTGGGGGGTGGGGGTGGAGATGAGTGCAGTTCACTCACAGGATGGGAAGCTGCAGATGCAAAGCTTGGTGGGCCCCGAATTCAGTCCCTGCCATTTTCATGGCGGGGAAGGGGGGAACAGAGCCCCAGGGAAGGGCGGTGACCTCTCCAAGCTCCTGCAGCTACAAGCAGGGCCCACGCCTCTCACCCACCAGGGAAAGTGGGTCAGTGCAACCCAACAGACACAGATGATGGAGTTTCGACTCCAGGCCAGGCTTGTGGAGCAGTCGGTCTTCCCCCCACGCCCACCCTCTGTGATGGACCCATTTGGCAGATGAGAGAAGTGAGGCTCAGGGAGGTTAAATAACAGAGCAGCTAGAGAGAGGATGAACCAAGCCCCCCCCCACCACCACCACCATGCTGGGCTCATCCTGGCTTGTTTCAGGAGCAAGAGGCAGCAGTGACAGCTGCAGTCACCGAGGTACTGGGCTGAGAACAAGGGCGACAGTGCTTCCTGGGAGTGGAGACAATGAGAGGTCAGGATGATGGGGGGGGGGTGGCTGCAGGGAGAGAGTGACGTAAGGTGAGGCGCAGGGTTGAGTCCCCATGTGCTTTCTCATGCAGTAGGCACATAATAAATGCTTGAAGACTGATGGACTGAACAGGTAAACCAGACATGGAGTAGACGGGTGGTTTCCTGAGGCATTTTAGGAGCCCCAACAAGACTGCAGCAGGTGCGTCCCCAGGACCTGACGAGCCTCCTGGCGCCCTCCCCATCCGAGAGGAGCCCTTGCCCCTGGGGGGTGGGGTTATGCAAGGGAAAGCGCCAGGGGCTGGGGTCTACCTCCCCTTGAGCCCTGACGTGCTCAGAACCACACAGCTGCCTCTCAGAAGGGACCCCTCGGAGGCCGGCATTGTGGTCCTGGTGCACAGGCCAGGGTGGCAGAGGTGCTGGGCTCTGGAATCGGTGTAACCACAGCAGAAGGTGAGGTCCGGGGCGGCCGGCAAGTCCCTGCGCTTCCCGGCTTCCCAGTGCAGTCCACGCCGAGCGCCTGGAGCGCCTCTTCCTCTCCCACGTTGGAGCTGATTTCCTGGACTCCACTCCCAAGTCTGTCTGGAACCCAGCCCACAACACACTTCTGAAAATGTCTCATGTTTTGCTATGGGGGGAGAGCGCTTGCATAATTGGCCAATGGGCCAGCCCGGCCTGCCCCAGGCATCCTGCTCCCCAGCTCCTGGACAGGGTCCGGGTACGCCAGGACCATGAAGACAGGTGACTGCGAATGCAATAGGGCTCTTGCCTCGGCCCCAGCCTGAGGCTGAGCTGTGTCCTTGGATGGTGCTCCAGCGCCCAGTGTACGGGGGATACCCTGGAGCTTGTCAAAGGGAAGATGCTCTGCTAATTCGGGCAGGCGACGCTGCCCCTCACTTTCCTCATCTGTAAAATGGGGGTAAGGCCAGTGACTCTGCTGAACTTTCTGGAACCAGGCGGATGGCTCCGAGGGGTGAGTGGGGCCAGTCAAGTTGAGGCTGAAGGCAGTGCTCAAGGGCTTCAGCTCACGGAGCTCCAAGTTCAAAGGCATCTGGATTCTGGGTTGAGGGGCAGTGATCTCCCTAACCACAGCAGAAGTCACAGCTCTGGGTGAGAAGCTCGGCACACGGTGAGCCCAGCTCCCCAGACCCCGAGGCTCCCTGGGGGCACCCCCGGGAGCGGACTCCACTTGAGGTCAGCAAGGCTGTACCTCTGGCTTGGATCAGCCAGCTTCCTGGAATGCCGAGGCCAGCGAGGACCGCAGCCTTCAGCCAGCCCACCTTGGTTTCCAGAAGACCCTGACAGCCTGGATGCACAGCAGGACGATGGCAGCCCACCTGGGACATCAGGACCCTGCCCATGGGATCTTTCAGGAAGCCAAATCAGCAGCCCAGAAGCAACGAGCCCAGAACAGCCAGAACCTGGTTGGGCACAGCTGGCTCCCTCCTTGTCTGTACCCGCTTCCAGCTCAGCACCAACCAGAGAAGTCCCAGGTCCCCAACCCTCACAAAAGATGGCAGGATCGGGCAGAGCCCTAGCTGCCCCAGGCCAGCACTGTCACCCAGGGCACACCGAGAGCCTCCCTTTCCTTCCTCACACCCCCCCTGCCTCTGACCGCCTCCACCTGCAGGTGGCCGCGGTCACTCCCTTGCACCGGCCACTTTTGCTCTCCTGTGAGTGTGATTATTTCCACAACTCAGGGACCCAGAAAGGGCCCAGGAAGGATTCGAGGTCACGTTGAGGCAGGGAGGTAGAAGCCAGCTCCCTCAGGTTCATTTCCCTGCCTCGCTCTCCCCTTCCAGGAAAAACCGACTGCTTCCTCTCTCTCGAGGTGCCTTCCCTGTGTGCACTGGTGCTACTTCAAGAAGAGGAGCCTTGGGAGTGACCTGGATTTAGCATCTCTCTTCCAATGAAGAGAAGAAAGCCGAGGGACCATGGACAGTGTCAGGGACTTGCTCCAAAGACGCATGGCGGCTTGCTCTTGGCTTTCTTGGGTCACTCACTAGTTAGGAAGCCAGCTGCCAGGCTGTGAGGCCACACAGGCACCCCGAGGAGAGGCCCATGTGATGACGCACTGAGAGGACTCGCCAGGAGCCAGGGAAGAACTGAGGTCTCCCACTGACAGCCACGTGAGCAAGTCGCCCTGGCAGCAGCTCCCCTGGCCCCTGTCAACATCTCAGCTGCAGCCTTGTGAGAGACCCTGGCCCAAGACTTCCTGGGTCAAACCCCTCCAGGTTCCTGACCCACCGGACCTGGGGGAGGTAACAGATGTCTGTTGTTCCAAGCTGCATGGTTAGCAATGCAACACAAGTTGGTGCTTTTTGGTCTGAGATTCATCGTATCCAATTAGGAGCGCTGAGAATAAAGCACCAGTGACTCAGGACTCAGTGATGTTTCATGGAGAGATGAGTGAATGGATGGACAGGCAGATGGATGGATGGATGGATGGATGCATGGATGGACAGGTGGATGGATGGATGGATGATGGATGGGTGGATGGATGGATGATGGATGGATGGGTGGGTGGATGGATGGGTGGGTGGACATACAGATGGATATATGGATGATAGATGATGGATGGATGGATGGATGAGTGGATGGATATATGGGTGGATGAGTGGATGGATGATAGATGATGGATGGATGAATGAGTGGATGGATGGATGCATGCATGAATGAATGAATGAGTGGATGGATGATGGATGGATGATGGATGGATGATGGACGGACAAATGGATGGATATATGGGTGGATGAGTGGATGATGTTCCAGAACAGCTGAGCTGCTCAGGAGCAGCAAGCTTAGAGCGGGCAGGTGCAGGGTTGGAAATGTCTCTGATGAAATTTCTGTTCAACCTAGTTTTCAAGCAATCATGCCTTCTTCATTCTCCTTGCTGAGCAGCCGACCCAGGGAAAACGGCTTTGTTGGTTAACTGAGTGGTGGCTGGGATTTCTTCTGCACAGGCTGAACCTTTTGTAAAGGAGGTTGGTCCAGGCCCGAGAGTCCTGTCAGCTGACTCTTCAACTCCAGGACTCAGAAGTCCCTTGTGACTCTCATATCTGCAGGAGACACCTTGGACCACAAACAGAAATGGAAAGGAAGGCCGGCGCCGCAGCTCACTAGGCTAATCCTCTGCCTTGCGGCGCCGGCACAACAGGTTCTAGTCCCGGTCGGGGCGCCGGATTCTGTCCCGGTTGCCCCTCTTCCAGGCCAGCTCTTTGCTGTGGCCCGGGTGTGCAGTGGAGGATGGCCCAGGTGCTTGGGCCCTGCACCCGCATGGGAGACCAGGATAAGCACCTGGCTCCTGCCATTGGATCAGTGCGGTGCGCCGGCCGCAGCGCGCCAGCCGTGGCGGCCATTGGAGGGTGACCCAACGGCAAAGGAAGACCTTTCTCTCTGTCTCCCTCTCACTGTCCACTCTGCCTGTCAGAAAAAAAAAAGAAATGGAAAGGACCTTGGAGACCGCGAGATACACCATGGGGAAGGAAGGGAGGGAGGCTACAGCATCACAGATGAGGCTTCCAGTCGTGGCTCGTCCCCTCACCAGCTGTGTGGCCAAGGATAAGCCACTCAACCTCTCTGAGCCTCAGCTGCTGCTTCTGCGAGGTGGCACCGGCTGCATGGCCTTGGAGATGGCCCAGGTGGCGCGTGCAGGGAGCTTAGCCCAGGGCTGGCCTGCAGTCAGCGCTTCCATTTGCGAGAACATCCATGTCACCCAGTTCTCTTATCGATCAGATGAGGACACAGGCCGAGAGGGGGATGGATCGCCCAAAGCAAGCCTGTGCGCTAGTGGCACGGTTAAGGCTAGAATCTCAATCCGTTTTCTGCTCCTTTGCTCGGAGGAAAATGCAGGATTCTCCTCTGAACGCTCAGCCTCAGTGGCCACGAGAGGGCGCTCTTGGAATTGCTTCTGGACAAAGGAGGCTGTGTCTGCTTCTCCACCTGCCCCGACCATCAGGCCTGTCTGCCTGGAGTCCTGCTCCCTCCCACCACAGCGCCTCCCGGGCACCCCAGAGCCCTGCTCGCTCTCCTTCCCCTGCCAGGATCTTCTCTCCTTTTCCTGAGCCCAGTGGGATCCTCACAGCCGTGCTGGTGAGTCTCCTGTGGTGTTCTCTCGCTCAGGAGCTCCTGTGAGAGCAGCAAGGGGCTGGGGGCGGGGCTCAGTGGGTTAAGCCGCTGCCTGTGACCCCAGCATCCCACATGAGCATCCGTGCAAGTCGGGCTGGCTGCTCCTCGCAGCGGAAGATGGCGCCAGAGGCAACCGTTTGAGGAATGAACGCATAGACGGAAGATTCTCTCTCTCTCTCTCTCTCTCTCTCTCTCTCTCTCTCTCTCTCCCACACACACACACACACACACACACACACACTTCCTGTCTCTGTAATTCTGCCAAGTAAACCAACAGCAAACTCCTTGGGCCCTCACTCGGACTGGAAGCAGAAGCAGCTCCACCTCGGAAGACCCTTTGGTGTCTGGGTGTCCTGGGAGCCCCTCAGCCCCTGGAGGGACCTGGGCTGTGGGTTCATGACCAAGGGTTTAGCGAGGAGCCTCCTTCTCTGGCTAAGAAAATCTGGGGGAGACCCCAGTTGCTGCTTCGAGAGGCTGGGGGCTCACCCACCCACCAGGCGCCCTTTCCAACTCTCTCTCTCTTCTTGGGGGGATCAGAGTTCAGCTGAAATTCTCAAAGTCTAACAGCACCCAGTGCTGCCTGCTGGCATTGTGGGGCACTGTGTCTGCGATGCTGGAGCCCCCCCCCCCAATCAGGGCTCTGGGTCCAGGCCCTGGGCCCCTGCCACCCGTGTGGGAGACTCGGGTGGAGGACCTGGCTTCTGGCTTCACTTGAGGAGTGAACCAGCTGGTGGAAGATCTCTCTCTCTTTGTGTGTGTGTGTGTGTGTGTGTGTGTGTGATTTTGCCTTTTGAATCAATAAATGGAATCCTTTAGAAGAATAACGTGGAGGAACAGACACTTAGGCACGGTGGGTGCGGTGTCAAGTGGCACCCACTTTGGGGTGGTGGATTGACCGAACCTCCTGGGTGGGAACTAGGTATTCCCTTAGCGTCAGCATTTCCGGTCCTCAGAGTCAATTCTAGGAAGCACGCGCACTCGGGCACAAGGGTTTTGATGAGATATTTGCATACATAGTGTGTGCAACATACGTGTGTAAACGTGTGTATTTGAAGACACCAAAACAAAACCCCCAACACCTGGCGTTGCCCCAGCCTCACTGAGGCAGGACCGACAAATCCAGGTGTGGACGAAGCGGCAGTGCTGCGGGGGGGGGGGGGGGCTCAGAAATCGAAGTGAAGCTCCAGGGGCCGACTTTCAAAGACCTCGTGCCGGCTCCTTCCTCGGGAAAACCAAGTTCAAAATCGCATGCAGAGCAGACCCTCGGCTGCGTAGCACGAGAGAGAGAGAGAGAGAGAGAGAGAGAGAGAGAGAGAACGCAGAAGAAAGAGGCAGGGAGGACTTGGGGTCGGGGGGGCTCTCGCCCGGCTACCAGCAGCAGGGAGTCATGATTTACCCAAGCTGCGGGATGGGAGGCTGCTGGGGGGGCGGTCTCAGCTTTCAGTTTATGGACTTTTATAATGTTTGACTGCTTTATATCTGGTTGGGATGTTTTCCTCAATGGGCATGTATTTATGTATATTTGTTTTGTCCCACCCAAAATCACACACACACACACACACACATGCACAAGAGGGTCCCTCAAACAGTTCAGGGGGGTGCAGTAACAGATACGGTAATTTTGGTGTGAAACAATGACACGCAGCCTTCTCTGATGTCCACATTTCCCACCAGCCTTTCAAAGGCCCTGCAAATGCGTAAGCTTTGCCCCAGGACCCCCCTCCGAGGAGCGCTGCTCAGGACCCCTGCAGTAGATGGACCCTAAAATTGTTCACAGACACCTCCCATGTGAGCCCCTGCCCCGTGCAGCCCTGCACTGGGTGCTGGAAGCAAAAGGCACACTGCCCCGCCCTCGGCGAGTGTCCAGTCCCCTTCAGTGTGACAGAAGGTATCCTCATGGGGACAGCAAGGGCAGGAAGCGGGCAAGGCCCACTCTCCTGGGTGAAATCAGAGGAGGCTTCCTGGAGGAGGAGGTGTGTTGCTGAGTCTCAGAGATGACCAGCAGAGGACAGGGGTAGAGAGTTGGGAGATGGGAGCGTCTAATGCTTTGGGGGGCGCATGGGAGAGAGTGTGGGCAGTGGGGCTGGGGAAGGGGCAGGACCAGAGCAGGGGCTGGGCTCAGCTCCAAGTTGAGCAGCTGGGCTCCTGGGCTCTCCGTCTGGATCCTCTCTCTGAGCTGGGGGAACCCAGCCAGAGGCCAGCAGAGGGCGCTCAAGCTCTCAGAACTTCAGGCTCCGGCACCGCTGCGGGAGTTGGTTAAACGGCCTGACCTTGAACTTGGAGGGAAGGGAGCTCCCAGGGCCTCAGCTGGGTGCAGAGGGCAGGGGAGACCCCGACACAGATGACGATGATGCAGTGAGGGGGACTCCCACCCCCCAGGAGCCCCCTGCCCCCACCAGCCTGACTCCCACAGCATGGCAAAGGACATGGGACGGTCCGCGCAGGCAGCCAGCTCATGGGGGACAGGACGAGTCAGAGTGCCTTCCATGAGGACGTGAGTGCAGGGCGGGGCGAGAGGCTGGGACCCCAGGTCACACAGAGTCAAGGGCTATACTCGGAGGCTGGACCTGCAGCAGCCGGGGCGTGGGGCTGCAGCTGGCCTCTTCCACCTGTCCCCTCCGACCTTACACTATGCCCTCTCTCTGCTCCTCCAAGGCCTGGCTCCCAGGCCCCAGCACCTGCCACTCAGCAAGCCAAAGCCAACCTGGAGCACTGCACGGCGCCAGGTCTCCTCTTGGGTGCTGGGAACGGGGGAGGGGGGCTGCCGGCCAGGAAGGTCCCAGCCTGTTCCGCCATGTGGAGGAGACAGACCCCAAGCTGGCTGGAGCTTCAGGCCGGGCTGGGCAGTGAGAGAGGCCAGGAGCTAGGTGGAACACTGCTGGGGGCTGGGCTGGGGGAGGGACTGGGTCCCGGGGCAGGGGTGGCCCAGGCTCTTCACCCCTCCTGGACCAAGCCCGGCCCCGGTAGGGCTCGCAGGTGAAGGGTGCACGGGCAAGGGACACGGGCGTCCCTGGGAACCCCCCCCCCCCGTTAGTCTCTGGGTGCCGGGGACAGAAGCAGGGGGGCCCCGCGGGCCACTGTCACAGGGCAGCCAGAGTGGCCTGCCTTCCCCAGTGCCTCGTTCAACCTCAAGGATTCTAATTTTTCCAAGAGAGGTGATCTCTTTTACCCTCTATTTATTTGAAAGGCAGAGTGGGAGAGGGGGGAGAGAGATCTTCCATCCACTACTGGGTCACTCCCCAAATGGCTGTAATGGCGGGGGCTATGCCAGGCAAAGCCAGGAGCCAGGAGCTT